GCATGAAGGACGAGCCGTTTATTACAAACCTGTGCTCACATCGACACAAGTGCTGACACATTACGGACAGTCGACTCCTCATGATAGACATGACCGGCGCTACGATCCGTTGGCCCACTTCGTACTGAAAGGTCAGCGTCAGGCCTACCCTGCCGTACGAGAAGAGACCCGTCCGGTCGGACATGTGTCTCAACCACCGTATGATCAAAGGTGTCGACACATTGAACGGCAAATTACCGACGATATGAATGGGAGGGCTCTCGTCTGTCCACTCGCGCCGTAACTCTTTGGGGAAGAGGCCGTCGAAACTATAGTCCATAACATCGCCGATAATTATCTTCATTTGTCCCGGAAGTGAGGCGTCGGACAACATCTGCAGGAGAAGCCATTCATGACATTGTTTGCCATAAAAGCGTACAAAATGTGATCACAAGTCATACAAACCTCGAGCATCGGTAGGAATCGTCTGTCCTTTTCGATGACATACAGCTCTTTGGGTCCCTTCTCGAGGATCTGTCGGGTGATATTACCAGGACCTGGACCCACCTCCAGGACATAACTGTCCCCTTTGATCCCTATCATAGACACCAATTGGTTAGAAATTATCATACAGTTGTATGTCTTAACATTCAATACCTGCTGAGGTGACAATCCTTTCGTTGATTGACTTCTGGAGCAAAAAGTTTTGAGACAATTGTCTTCTGGCCTTCACTTTGTATATACGGATCAAGTCTTTAGGTGTGGGAAGCGGTGGCAGTCGTTTGGGAACCAATTGCAGTGATGAGGGCTTTGTCGTCGACTTGACCACAGTTTTGGCGCCTTCGAGGAGAGACCTGTTAAATGACATTATCTCTCAAATGTCTTCACGTGTGGACACAACTCAATGCATGAGTCAATCAAATGAAACGACAATTGAATTGATGTTAAAGTTTACAAACAATTGAGTGAAACATGTGTTTCATTCACTAATGACATTATCTCTCAAATGTCTTCACGTGTGGACACAACTCAATGCATGAGTCAATCAAATGAAACGACAATTGAATTGATGTTAAAGTTTACAAACAATTGAGTGAAACATGTGTTTCATTCACTCCATTGCCATCTGTTGTCACAAATAAACCATAATTTATAGCAAATTCTGTACAGAATATCCGGATTCACACAAAACACGTGATTATTCTGTATAACAATAATCCCCTTCTGTACCCCGTTATATTTATTATAAATTATATTTTAATTAATTAGTTATTTGTGTGAAAATGTTAATTAAGTAAATTGTTCAGTTATACGGAACGATGTAAAAGTAAATTTGTATTAAATACTAAATATTTAATAAACAAAATCGCAATCTTTTGCAATAATAACTTATTAATAGAGTTGCACTGATTTCGACAGAAATTAATGTTTTATGAAAATGGAAATTAATTATTTATGACATATATGATGATGGTCAATACAATGTACTGTACAGCGAAAATATTTATTTTATTGAATTAATTTCAAATACAATCTGAAATTTGTTGACAAGAAAATTAAATATTAATGAAAGAGATAAAAAACAACTAAAACCAAATTAGAGATTAAAAAAATCGTTGCATTTAATGACTACTTATTAGGCTGGGATAAGTTCAGTAAACCATTATTTGCAATTAAATCCATTGTAATTATTTTTGCGAACTATAATTGTATTTATTGTTTGGTTTTATATTGATATTTATGTAAAATAATGATATTTTGGTGTTGAATTTATTTATATTCTATAATTTTTAGAGCTAGGTAACAGTTAATTATATTTAAGTAAATTTACCTTCTTTAAGTTGAAGATTTAGATAGCATTATGTATAATAATGATATCAGATTATGTTGTCTAATATTATTATATATTGCAAACATAATTAAATGCCAGAAACTATGATGATATAGCAGTCACTATACGTAATTGGTATCAATGTACTAATTTGGTTTAATGCACTAATAGTGCAAATAAACTTTACAATCAAATAACAATGTCGGGTTAAACAATGTTACAATCATACATGATAAACAAATGATAGTAATTCAAAAGATTCTCAATGTCTGTTTAGATTACTTTATCTAGCCAGAAATTATATCAGATGCTAATGTAAATACCGAACTTTGTTAAATGTCATGCATGATAACAAAAACTAAAATTTTATTTTTTTAATTCAAAAGATTCTCAATGTCTGTTTAGATTACTTTATCTAGCCAAAAATTATATCAGATGCTAATGTAAATACCGAACTTTGTTAAATGTCATGCATGATAACAAAAACTAAAATTTTATTTTTTTAATTATAAATTACAATTTTAATTAATTTTTTGCATAATTATAATTATAAAGTTAGTATAATCGGATATAACAGACAAATTAAATGTCAGCAAACTAATTTTTAACTTAGTCTTTATTATTAAAGATTAATAAAAATTTTAAAATAAATGACAATTAAGATTATGATTATTTTCAATATAACTGTACCTATTATTAATATTAAACACTTTTGTTAAATATAAAAACGGCAACGATTAAATTATATTGAAATAAAATTATGTAATACAATTTTAATTATGATTCGAAAAAATGTATTTTCAAAAATGACTGAAACTAGATTAAAATAAAATTAAATCTTTAGTCTTAGTAATCTTATAAAGTTTTATTAAATTTAATACACGAATACTCTGTCAGGAGTAACATAAATGAACAGGTTTGCCTTAAACTAATTATAAACCTAATATAAAAGCGTGAATTAATGCAAAATTTGCTATTCAACCCAACAATAAACAAAATGGAAACAAATTGATATCCCTATCGTTTGATTATATTTTCAGTAATTTAGACAAAAACGAGATGACATGATAAGAGATCTCTGAAATAACTTCTAAAGAATTAATGGCAATCGATGGCAAGTGTGGGCATTCATTGTATTCATAGTTTGTTTAAGAATTGGTATGCATTATACATGCACTTCCATGTAATAGAGCCCACACTCTGTGTACAGTATATCATACAATCAATTAATTAAAGGACTCAATTAATAAGTTTTCTTTGTAAAAGCTATTCACTAATAGATGAATACTTTTTTCTTGATAACTACTAAATAAATCACACAATACTAATTGCAAATGCTAATTGCATCGATATATATTAAAATTTAATTAAGGAATGATATATATTTTAATTATAATTCTCATTTACTGTTTGGTTAAATATTAATTTTTTGATATTATATTCTAATCACGTGTTTAATAAAAACATCGGTTTGAGTGAAAATGATTGTCGGGGTGGGGGCGGAAAGTTAATTGAAAATGATTTTAACTGTAAAATCATCGTTTAATGGCATTTGTGAACATGAGTGGGAAGGTGCACTTAATCACCATTTCTGATATTAATATTAAGATATAACATCATGTAGTTAACTTTCACGGTAATTTCTTTGTCTAGTTAATATAGTAATTTAGTATTTTATTAAATATTTAAAAATAGATATAAAAATATTTATTTTTCATAGCTATTTGATCTAACGTGTGCTATATTTATAATTTAAAATAAAATTGTATTAAAAGTTATCCATTTAATAAGTTTATAGATAACTTGTATTACAAAACTCAAAATCTTGTTATTGCAGATTTAATAAATTTGGTAGCATACGGTATAATAAGTGTTGAATGTTTTTATTTTTGACACATTTATAGATTAGAAAAGACTAAGTGATGGAGTCTTATGTTATAACACAGTATATAATAACATTTTCTTATGAGTTGCTGGTTTTTATCAGACATGTCGTTATTATATCAATGCTAATAAATTTCAATTCAACTCAAACTTCAGATTAGAAAATAAAATAATGTTGTTATATAATTGACAAATAAGTAACAATAAAACAAATTCAATCATTTTTATGTAACAAAATATTTTTCAAATAAATAAATAAATTTTCCGTGGAAAACTTAATATTATTATTATTGGTAGAAAATACTTAATTACTATAAGAAAATGTTTACATCTAATATATTATCCAATCAAATGTTTGAACCAAAATAGCCTACTCCTACACCTCCTTCATGGTATCAACTAACTTTAACTTATACATAGAGTATATTCTGTATATCCTGAAAGGAGAGAGAGAGAGAGAGAGAGAGAGAGAGAGAGAGATTATAATAAATTGATAACACTGTACTGGTATATTTGTGTATTTTGAATAAAACCTGGAAAATAGATATTTATAACATTTGGATTCATATATTTGGTCAAAATCTGTGACAAAGAGATTAATTAGTGCTCTACATATAAATAAGTGAATAAACTCTTAAATTGTATGAATTATATGACAGAAGATTGACATTCTTTGCACAGAATGTCATTCAACTCAAACTGAAACGAAGGGAATAGATGTCCCAAAACTATTGATCAAACGCTTACTAAAAAGAGAGTTGAACTCAAAGATTACATATTAGATGAGATGAACTCATTTATTTGATGTTTACTCTTAACTGAATAATTCCCAGAATTAAGAGACAAAAAGAAGTAAAATCTTTTGAAATAAAAATTCTATAAAATATCAATTCTGTGAATAGAAGTTAATATAAAAATATAGAGTCATTTAAGAGTGTATATGAATTGTGTGTCTAATGCAGTGTAATATTCTTGACACGAATATATCAGTGCATATAAAGAGGTAAAATGTGGAAAAAGGTTGATAACGGTGCGGATCCATAGGTGAATAGCTTGCTTAGGCTGAGCACTAGGAGCTGAGGTGACTGCGACTCTCAGATTGATGGCGAAGAACTCGTTGAGAGGCCACTCCAGCACATCATAACGCATGTGGACATCACTTACAACACACACCACCACTGAATGGATAGTTACTATAGCAGCTGAGTATCGATCCACACGATCTACACTACTATTGTGGGTGTAGTGAAGTATATAAAGCACATGGAGTTGTATCCAAACGCAAGTTCTCGATACAGTCGTCTTTAGACGAGTGATACCTGTGCTCTATATATCTCGCGCTTATATCTTAGAGATTACTCTTTGATATAATCAAACCTTTGTCTATACTTTGAAAGTTTTCGCTTCACTTCCGCGGTTGTCATCAAAAGTGAAGTCATCCTCAGCTAACACTTTGTTCTACACTTTCGGTTCAATTATTAAGACAGGATTACACCCTAAGACACATCAAAGGTAAGCAAAGTTGATACAAAAATCAATATTTAAACTTTTATGCTTAATGTGTTTATGTCAAAACATCACTTGTTATAAGTTTTTACTCAAGCAAGAAAACAAAAGTCTCTTATTATCTGTTAGTTTAATATTATTTTTCTGTCTCACTTTATATCTTCAGTCGTGAAAATTGAGGTCAAAAATCTGCCACAAAATGAGTGAAAATAAGTTGTTTCTACATATTGTGCTCTCAGTCCTATTGTCGGTCACATATATGTCTATTATATCAAAGCATTTCAGTTGTGAGGCATTAGCTCTTAAATCAAATGCAGACAATAGTTCTCCGACGCGTCCCTTATATCCGAAACAAAGCATTAAAGACGCCGTTCCTCCCAACCCTTCCATAGTCGACAGCAAAGCCGCTGTCGCTCTGCAGCCGCCGAGCATTTTATCGGATTATTATAACTCCATTATCGCAAACTCGGCCCAAAATATGCGTCGACTGCAACTCAATAGTCCCAACAGTTGGCCCCAACAGGACTTCATGTCCCCAAACAATGTCATTGATAATGAATACGACGGACAGACAGACGACTATTATAACGATGACAATACCGATGTGTTGCGATCGCCGGCGAGTGATATCTATTACGGTAACGANTAGATTAAAATAAAATTAAATCTTTAGTCTTAGTAATCTTATAAAGTTTTATTAAATTTAATACACGAATACTCTGTCAGGAGTAACATAAATGAACAGGTTTGCCTTAAACTAATTATAAACCTAATATAAAAGCGTGAATTAATGCAAAATTTGCTATTCAACCCAACAATAAACAAAATGGAAACAAATTGATATCCCTATCGTTTGATTATATTTTCAGTAATTTAGACAAAAACGAGATGACATGATAAGAGATCTCTGAAATAACTTCTAAAGAATTAATGGCAATCGATGGCAAGTGTGGGCATTCATTGTATTCATAGTTTGTTTAAGAATTGGTATGCATTATACATGCACTTCCATGTAATAAAGCCCACACTCTGTGTACAGTATATCATACAATCAATTAATTAAAGGACTCAATTAATAAGTTTTCTTTGTAAAAGCTATTCACTAATAGATGAATACTTTTTTCTTGATAACTACTAAATAAATCACACAATACTAATTGCAAATGCTAATTGCATCGATATATATTAAAATTTAATTAAGGAATGACATATATTTTAATTATAATTCTCATTTACTGTTTTGGTTAAATATTAATTTTTTGATATTATATTCTAATCACGTGTTTAATAAAAACATCGGTTTGAGTGAAAATGATTGTCGGGGTGGGGGCGGAAAGTTAATTGAAAATGCTTTTAACTGTAAAATCATCGTTTAATGGCATTTGTGAACATGAGTGGGAAGGTGCACTTAATCACTATTTCTGATATTAATATTAAGATATAACATCATGTAGTTAACTTTCACGGTAAATTCTTTGTCTAGTTAATATAGTAATTTAGTATTTTATTAAATATTTAAAAATAGATATAAAAATATTTAATCTAACGTGTGCTATATTTATAATTTAAAACAAAATTGTATTAAACGTTATCCATTTAATAAGTTTATAGATAACTTGTATTACAAAACTCAAAATCTTGTTATTGCAGATTTAATAAATTTGGTAGCATACGGTATAATAAGTGTTGAATGTTTTTATTTTTGACACATTTATAGATTAGAAAAGACTAAGTTATGGAGTCTTATGTTATAACACAGTATATAATAACATTTTCTTATGAGTTGCTGGTTTTTATCAGACATGTCGTTATTATATCAATGCTAATAAATTTCAATTCAACTCAAACTTCAGATTAGAAGATAAAATAATGTTGTTATATAATTGATAAATAAGTAACAATAAAACAAATTCAATCATTTTTATGTAACAAAATATTTTTCAAATAAATAAATAATTTTTCCATGGTAAACATAATATTATTATTATTGGTAGAAAATACTTAATTTCTATAAGAAAATGTTTACATCTAATATATTATCCAATCAAATGTTTTAACAAAAATAGCCTACTCCTACACCTCCTTTATGGTATCAACTAACTTTAACTTATACATAGAGTATATTCTGTATATTCTGAAAGAAGAGATATATATATATATATATATTATAATAAATTGATACCATTGTACTGGTATATTTGTGTATTTCAAATGAAACCTGGAAAATAGATATTTATAACATTTGGATTCATATATTTGGTCAAAATCTGTGACAAAGAGATTAATTAGTGCTCTACATATAAATAAGTGAATAAACTCTTAAATTGTATGAATTATATGACAGAAGATTGACATTCTTTGCACAGAATGTCATTCAACTCAAACTGAAACGAAGGGAATAGATGTCCCAAAACTATTGATCAAACGCTTACTAAAAAGAGAGTTGAACTCAAAGATTACATATTAGATGAGATGAACTCATTTATTTCATGTTTACTCTTAACTGAATAATTCCCAGAATTAAGAGACAAAAAGAAGTAAAATCTTTTGAAATGAAAATTCTAAAAAATATAAATTCTGTGAATAGAAGTTAATATAAAAATATAGAGTCATTTAAGAGTGTATATGAATTGTGTGTAAAATGCAGTGTAATATTCTTGACACGAATATATCAGTGAATATAAAGAGGTAAAATGTGGAAAAAGGTTGATAACGGTGCGGATCCATAGGTGAATAGCTTGCTTAGGCTGAGCACTAGGGCTGAGGTGACTGCGACTCTCAGATTGATGGCGAAGAACTCGTTGAGAGGCCACTCCAGCACATCATAACGCATGTGGACATCACTTACAACACACACCACCACTGAATGGATAGTTACTATAGCAGNCCATCCCGAAGAAGTTGACCGCAAAACAGTTCCGACTTTTCCAAAGAGGGCAGAAAGAAGTGCCGCTTTTAAGGCCGGCCGCAGATAATGACGAAAAAAGTGAAACAAATGACTCGGAATGGCCGACAGAGTTGGAGGAGAAGGAGTTATCACAGGTTTGACAGCTTTTGTGAAATATATTTCTATTTATTTGATTATTTAATTAGAGTACGAGAAAGTAAATCAGATTTTTATGACAAAAAAATACAGAATAATAATAAATAAATTTTACGTTTCAATGAGAGAATACATGGAATTAATATATTTTATGTTAATTTGGTTATTAACTAAAAGCAAATCCTAATATTAATTAGCATTTGATGGGTGATGCAAATGTAAAAATTATCTCGACAGTAGTGCAAAACCATTAATTCTGTAGTTTCTATAATTAAATTTAGTCAAACTCTTCGCTCAATTGTTATTAGACCTCATGTCATACCTCTAAATGAATTTTATTTATAGACTATAGAGTTAATGAATGTTCAGCTCGTCATTACATAAATTTATGTCTCGCAGGCTTAGTCTCAAACCTTATCCTATTATATAACGAATATATTACATGTTTCTATAGATTAATAAAAAAAAGTATTTTTAGAATTAAATTGAATTATTATTCATGTTTGAAATGTTGAATATTTAGAAAGACATTAGAAGTTAACTATACAGTAAATTGAAAAGATTTCCAACTAACTAGCAAGAATTTATTTAATTTTAAAAATTATTTTACTTTTACATCAAAGTTAGCAAGTGAATGTGTGTTTGAGAGAATACATAAAAAAAATTGTGTCTTGTTCTCTTATATAAAAAATATTTTATTTTTGATAGAATGAGTAAATATAAGTTAAATAAGAATATATTTTATTTATCAAAAGAAAGCTAAGAAAAAATTGTTTTTTGTTGTCAAGTTATAGAACCAATGAAAACCTATAAATGATAGAAAGTATGATTAGTTATTCATGTATAAGGGACGCCATCACACCATTCATTTATTATATGATATTTCAATCTGCATATTATATTTTATAACACGCGTAATGGTATTATATATGTTAACTATAATAACGCAATAAAAGTTCTCAAAATACTATATAAAAATATGACCAGTTCTCTATAATTTAAATAAATTTTTATTTCTCGGAACATTCAAAACAAAGTTTTAATCTGAAATGAGAATTATATAGAAATGATTGGAATATTTTGCCGTAAAGAATATAAAGTTAATTTGTTTTTATACAGTAAATATAAAAATGAATATAATATTTGAAAAGTAGAGCTTTAATTAAAGATTTGATTTAAATACAGAATCGTTTAGATTGTGGATAAATAAACTCTATATTTATTTTGTAAGTTTTGACTTATATTAGTATATCGACCCGTTTGGTACGTTTAGACTGTTATGTCGGGTATCCATTGATTAAAAGTCTTGTGTTATTGCAGCAAAGTTTTGGTCAAATTATCATTGAGTTTGAGTATTGACGCACAGACTAACGTCATACCAGTGTATGGCTTTCCGACTCCCATTCATTCGCTATAGTATTACGTGAATACAAATCCAAATTTCGATTCTCTCTCTCTCTCTCTCTCTCTCTCTCTCCCTTCCCTCTCCTCTATCGGAGTTATATATGACTGGCGTTTACGAAATAAAATCAATGTTTTTGCACTCATACTATAAATAGAAACCCTTTAGCAAAGAATAATCAATCAATTGATAGTGGGTTTGCAAATGTAGTAAAAATAATATTACTTTTTACAATGAAACACAATTAGTGTGAACAATCAATTTATTATGACTCTATAAATAGAAATAATTATAAGTTTCCGTATTTTGTTTGAATAAATTATAAATATATATTCAATTCATAGGAGGATTTACTACAGAACCTGAAACAACAAAAAAGGACAGTAAGGGATGTACTGACGGCCCAATTGGACAGTCTTAAGAAAGAAGGACCCAAAATGCATTAGACGACACACCGGCTCACGATATCCACAACCAAACCATACCTTTATTTCCAATATATCTTCGCTGAAAACAAAATCTACTCGTCTTTAATCCATTAAACCAATTGTAAGAATAAATCAATCAATTTCTCAATCAATCATTTATTCTCTCGTAATAATCTACTCTTACAAACACTTCTCAAACATATAATGAACTAAAAATATACCATCAAACCAATCCTTATAATACAGTATCTAAATCACTATTTTAGACATATTTTCGAAATTTTCAAAACTGTTATTCGGATTACATATTTACAAAACTAATAAAAGACATCTAAATTGACAGATATATTGTTTTTTATATATTGAATGAACAGAGACTTAAGAAAAATAATTTTCGTAAAGTTTTAAAGAGAGCTTGAGTTTGACTTTTATATATAATGTTATTTCTACGGCTAAGAAGTTATTTCATATAACGGATATATGAATACTCTAAAAGTTTGTTGAACATATTTGAATTCAACATTTTTATTGCTATTAATTGCTATTTAAACATATTATAACTAAATAATAATGTGAAAAAAGGTTGAACTACCGTATATTGTAACATATGTGACGGAAAATGCACTCAAAATTTTTTGTGATAAATCAAGATATTTATGTAAAATTTATTACATTTTGAATAGTTTATAACAATATCACACTTACTATATCTCACTACTAAATAGTGTTGTCTTTCCAGTCTATAAAATAAACATAAGATATAAATTTTACTATACCTTTTATTATTATTATTATTATTATTATTATTATTATTATTATTATTATTATTATTATTTTGGCGTTTTTGTTATTGATATATAAAAAATTATGAATAATTACAATAGGTTTGTGAGAAGCAAACAAACTCCTTTTATTAACCATTTTTGGGAATTTAATTGTTTAACTAAACTATTATTATATGATATATCAAATGAAAAGCCATTCGTTTCGCACACAACACATTCAAGTTTACAATAATTGTTTTGCACTGAAATGCAAATGAAAATTATTCTTACTATCATTGCTATTATTATTCTTACTGTTATTGTTAAACAAATACAACACATTTGCCAAATAAATTGTCTCTAAATTAATATCATTTTAAATCAAATGTTTTCGTGTACAAAATATATTGTGTGCTATAAATAAGTTTCATATATCTATTAATTATATGTTGTTTTCGGCAAATAATTTACGACTAATATATTGTTTGTTGGGCTGAGAATTAGTCACACCATTATGTGTTCAGTTAATTATAATTTCCCAAACATATGTACCGTTAGAGCACAGGGATGGTCGACCAGTTATGTACATACAGACAATACCCCTGAGTTGGTGAGAGGAATCAATTTGTATATTGAAATTCGTATGAATTTTTGCTAAAAATCAATAATGATTTGATTGAATAGATTGGAGAAAATTCATTCATATTTTTAAAGCCTAACTTTTGTTTTTGTAATTATTAGACCATATGTAAGGCCATTGTGTGGCCAAACGGAACAAAACCCATAATTTTGTAATTTATTTATAACAAATTTCAATGTTTTATGTATAAAACAAAATCAAATGAAAAATATTGTAATTAATTTTAATTTCACTTATATAATGTTATGTAAGAAAATACTTTATTGTAGTACTGTATCAACAAAAAGTCGATTAAAGTTATTATTTTATGTATTTTATGATTACATTTTGATTTATTTTCTCTACATCTTCTCTGTGGACGGTTTCGCATCACTGACTGAATACAGGATTCATGAGTTTAATATACTTTATATTTCATACTATTGCAGAGTATATCAAATCAAATGTATTGTGTTTCCATAAATTTCACCCATTATTGAATCAA